GCCCCGCCTCGCTCCAGCCGCGCGCGCGCCACTCGCGAATCACGCTCGCCACCTGACCTGAAATACAAATACAACCTTTCAAATAACAATATTTATATCACAATTAAGAGATACAAATAGTATTGATAAAAATAATAGCTTTTGACAAGTAACTTCATCCTCGCGAAATGTAAACAAACAGTAAGTAGCCGATGTATTCTCTCGGACTGTTCTACACCTGTACCGAATTTCATTAAGAACTGATAAGCAATTTTAGAGATATGGTAACAAACATTCATTCGTCCATTATTTAGAATAGTATTTCTTTGTTCGAATACTTTTCTAACAATTTTTACCACATCGAACTATCCTATTTAGATTTTTTCATTTTTGACAGACAAATAAGAACTCAGTAATCTTACAAACAAACGGGTATGAAAATTTTGAAAGATTAAAATATAAAAATATCAATAGCCTAATAGTTTGGGGTACGGACTACCAATCTTGCTGTCAAGAGTTCGAATCCCGCCAGTCTACTATTATCGTAGCTCACAGCTTATTCGGAATTTTTAAAGGAAATATTATTAACTAAAACTTAATTTTCGCTTATTACTAAACCAACAAAAATCTACTAACATTTTATTTAAAAAAAAAACTTACCTAGCACATTAAAAGTATGAAACCGTCTATCAGGTACGGCCATTAGTACACTTAGGTCCGTATTCGGTGTTAATCTGGCAATGATATCTCTGGCCCGCACCAGCAGCACGGAGGGCGAGGTGAGGCGCGCCCACAGCGCGCGCTCCGGCACGCACTCGCAGGGGTTGCAGAGGTACACGCCGCGGCCCGACACCCCGAACACCATCTGGTGGTGCCATGCGTCGGGCACCTCCCCCTCGCACCCCACTTGGAGGTTCAACGTCAGAATAGGTACTGCTCCTATAAAAATAATCTAATCTAAAAAGTTCCAATAGGTTTCAAGTAAGACTGTGCATAAACCTACATCAAATATCATAACTTGCAATTTAAAAAAATATCAGTCAGTTTTACTTTTTAAGTTTTTTTAGATAATATTCATCTATCTGTAAGTCCAAGAAATAATATTTACGCATGTTATTTTTATTTAAATTCATATTTTTCTAGCCATTTTTAACCTGTCCACTAAATTCAATAGTTTAAGCATAATAATTAATTAAAAATATATTTTAAAGATTTATTTATTAAGCTGTTACAAAAATTTGTTTTAATAAAATAGTGATTGAGCGACTGGCCTACACTTGGCTCTAGGCCCGTCTTGTAGCCAGGGTTCCTCCGTCTTAGTATTTAAGACATATGGTAATATAAATCTAAAGTAGTTAATAACAAATCAATAATCAAAGTTCCCCTAGAAGTATATTTAATAACTAACCTAACGATATCCAGTCAGCAAGCCAGTGGGACAGTGACATGGCTCGCTCGGGATGCATGGGGAAGAACCGAGCGGTCACCAATCCATCTGAAGCCCTCTGTATTCCAGTGACCAGGTCCGCCGCAGTGCAGCCCGCCACAGAGCGCGACAGTAAATACCTAATTATATCAAATTATAACATTTTCTACTATGTATTTCAACTGAATTTTATTATACACCGATCAAAATATATCTTAATATATATATGATGCTATTTAGTAAAAAAATACTTCAATTTAATAAGTAAAAGTATATAAAATTACAAACTTTTTTATATAATTTTAAAAGAATATAATGATCACTCTATCATCATATTCTTTTAAATTTATTAGGATCAGTTTAAAGTATACTAGCTTTGCCCTTGACTGTGTCCGGGTGGAATAAAAAAACCAAAAGAAAATACCCCATGTGTTCTTTCAGATTGTTATCTGCATCTATACCAAATGTCAGCCATTTAGGCTCCAAACTCTTATAAACATCCCTCCATCCATCCATTCATCTAAACATTCCTATTTATAATATTAGTATGAAGTATGATGTGATGGTATACAGTGCTTAGATATAATAGAAAATGTTTATGTATGATATATTGTAGAGACTGGACCTGCTGTATACATACATTACCTGGGTATAGGCGCACTGTTCGCCCTCAGCCTCGTTCCCACCGCGCCATTAATTCTCTCAATGTTCACAGGTACACCAAGAGCAATCTGGAAATAATAAACTCAACTAAATAATTTGCTTTATAGAGAATCTTACTGTAAAATTCCAATGGGGGTATTGTTTTTCATTTTTAAAACAGAATGAGAGATGACAATAAAGATTGCAACCCATAATTTCTATTAAAAATAAATTTACACTTGATTCTATCAATATATATTCCAAAAGACATTTTCTGAAAGCCTAATCATTCTTATCATCAAGTTATTCAACCATCATACATACAAAAGTCAAATGTTACTTACAAAAACATTGACAACCGCTGTTGCTCCACAAGCGGATGTACCAATCTGAGTGACTTGTCGCTCGCAGGCTTCGCGCTCCGACCACACCATGCAGTGCGGGGGCTCAACACAACCTGTATCTCCATCACTACTGCATCCTGCACCCTGGTCTCGACTCTATAATTTACAGTAAGAGGTTATGTACATTTAAACTCTGCTTTTGTTAACACTACAAATCGATTTGTTTGTTTTGTTTTGTCTGTGTTTATTTATTATTATTTTTTTTCTCTGCATTTTTTCTGGCCATTAGTTTTTACTTTTATGTTGCAATGTGTTTTTAAGCTGACTAAAGAAATGGATAGCAAAAAACAGGATGTATATTGTTATTTCGCACCATAAGTATGTTGGTATTGCCTAATGAAGACAACTTTTCATAAAATTGAAGAAGAGTTATAGAAATAGATCCAGAAACAGAAGAAAAGATTAGAAAAGGCATTCATGATTACATTTACCACATTAGCTGCATCGTGACGTTCAACATCGGAGCAAGTTTTCTGAATCATAAGCCTCTTAGCCATTGTGATATGGTAAAGAGCTGATGACAAATTTACAGATTCCCCAGTAGGTCTTTCTCCTTGATTAATTTCATAAGTGTGTGCTCCTTCATTCTTCATACGCTCTTCTTCATCTAAAGAAAAGATTAATATGATTTGGAGATACATAGTTCAAATATTTATAAAGGTACTTGATTAGAAAATATCTACATACAATTTAATACTTCTCTTGGTGATACTAAATCTCCATTAGAGACATGTAAGCCAGCTAATGTATTACTTGGCCAACTTGATGTGGTTCTTCTGACTAAAAACTGTTCACCCCTGAAGTTCACATGTGTGATGTAAGGTCCATACTCTTGGTCATTTGTTACTTCTTCATCTACATTACTTTGTGTCACTTCAACACCATAACTTGTTGATGGAACATTAAGACTATGTTCAGTTTCATTATGTATTGCACTAGTAGATGGTTGAGGGTTCACTAAAATGCTAGGCACATATTCAGGTGTGGTACCTCTAATTACTGGTTCAATTTCTTCTGGCAAACTATTTGCCACTTCTAAATCAGCATCAGGGCTTGATTCATCATCTGTATCCACTTCACATGATGGCCCTGGATCAAAATCCATTTCCAAGAAGTCCATATCCGGACTGGATGCTCTTGATCCTTCTCTAGCATTAGCTGGCCCCTGCTGAGGGACTGGATAATTTGGTAGCAATGGGAGATGCCTATCTAAGGGTAAGCCCATATCAAGGCTGAAAAATGAACTTGGTAAATCAGCCAAGTGTTCACCTCCCCTGTATGTGTAAATACAACCATCTTCAGAGCCCAATGAATAGTCATCATTACCAGTGTCACTTGAACTATCATTATCATCTATGCTTGGCCTTTCTAGTTTGAGAGTTGATGGCCGTTTCCTATTTTCTCGTATCCCACCACTTTCAGTATTATCATTGGATTTATTTGTGCCACTTGTTGATGGACCATTAACACTGCTACCACTACCTACTTTATCTGAATACATTTTGTATCTTTGACATGCTATCTCACAGTTGGAGTCTGAACTTTTATCACATGTTGATTCAAATTTACTTGAACAAGGACTTTCAGTATTGTGAATGTTAGACTCATAATTAACCACTTGCTTTTGATTTCCATCAAAGGTATGTCCAATGGTGTCACGTTGTAAATTGTTTTCTTTTGGTCGGTTAACCCTTTGTTCAGAATCATCATTCGCCCAAGGTCGAGAACCATTTACTGGAAGAAAATTAGAACTTCGTTCTTGTGACATTGATGTAAACACATTTTCAACCCCAACGAGTTGGCTCGCCTGCTTATCTGCACTTTTATTGTCCTTACTTGCCTCTTTTTCACATCCTTCTTTAATAGGATTTCGAACAGATGCTGCCTCATCGGAAGAATCCATTATTACAAACACAAGTTGTTATTTGTCGGCATTGTAGTTTTAAGGTTAACAAATGATGGCACTTTTAAATGTTTCTAAAGAAAAGACAGACACGGTACGTTACAGTTTTATAATTATATCTTTATCACTATTCATTTAACTACTACTATGGTTGTTTGGAATTAACTTCATTAAATAATAACAAACCCATTGAAGAATAATATAATTGACAGCTAGCAACGATAACCATAGACAAAAATTACCATACCAATATACAGAGTTTTCTTTACTATGTATATATTATCTGCAGGGTCTGATTATCCATCTGGGAATCCGTTTGCACGATGGAAGTACGTACGAAGAAAATAAAGAAGAATACAGCATAACATTTGATTTTATTACATTTAATGGCAAGCAACATGAGAAAAGTGTTGCAGGTCACCGAAACCAACATGTATGTCGCGATAGGTACAGGCATGTCAGTAGTTTCCCTTATCTATTCTGATAGCATTCTCAAATAGTTTCGTAACTATTTCTATTTTCTTGTTGCTTCTCTGTGAACAGACAACTTTTGTTTTTGATTTAATAAAAGTGTTAATTAGTGGATTTGATTGATTGGTTTGGATTAAAGGATTACTAGAATGGAAAACTTTGAGTTTGTTTCAAAGTTTTCCCCAATTTCGTCTTTTTACTATCATGAATTTGCTTCGGCTCATAAAGACTTTTTACTTTATCAAAATATTAGAATGATATGCACTTTATTTTCACTTATGCTCTAAGCCTGGGAAAGTGGGAAAATGTTTCTACAACAACGACGACGGCTCCTTGGCTAGTCCGTTTTTATATAGTCAAAGGGTTTGAAGTTTAAACTACACAGAAATAATGAATTCATGGATAATATTGGAAATACGATAACTGTGCGAGGAAAATTTAAAAATAAAGCGATAATAATAACTTACAATTTATTGGTAATAAAATATATTGGTATTGCCAAACAGTAGTCAAGAATTTGCAATGCCATTTAATTTTATCCTAAAATCTATGGTCAGCTCACTCATTGACTCATTGTCAGTTTTCACAAATTTTACAATGACATATTGAATCAACCCAGCTGTGAGATTAATAAAAATTGCGTCGTATCGTAATTAAAGTAATCCTTATTGAGAGTGTTGTGTATTCTAAATTTATATTTTCTTTGTAATATCAATAGCAAAACCAGGAAAAAATGGCATACGCCTACTTGTTTAAATACATCATCATTGGCGACACAGGTATTGATTTTATTTCCTGAAATTTTTCTTCATTGTCATTTTTGCTTTTCGATTCAATAATGTCGCATTTTACATTACTTATGCTTTTGACAATACAGAAATTCGTCACTATTTAAGAATGCAACGTAAAGAGTTCGGCATTAAAGGAATAATAGGCTATCGTAAAACCTTTTGTGTTACGCCTACGCTCGTCTATAATCTTTGTATCAAATCAACCGAAAAACGTTGCGCAAATAAATGTAAACCAATTTTGACCTTATTCCTTTATACTATTCAAGGACATTCTTTGTATTCAAGCATTTAAGAAATAGGATAACTTGATTGGCTGTACTTAAACACAATAGACATTTTTTCCATGTAAAACAAATTAATCAGTTAAATGTAAACATGTTTGTAGGTGTGGGCAAGTCATGTTTACTGCTGCAGTTTACAGACAAGAGATTCCAACCAGTACATGATCTCACTATTGGTGTGGAATTTGGTGCCCGCATGATTACAATTGATGGCAAACAAATCAAACTACAGATCTGGGACACTGCTGGCCAGGAGGCATTCAGGTTCAAACAAAGACTTACTAGAAATACAAATAATGTATTGATAAGAATACAATGACCTATATAATTATTGTTTTATGTGCTATAAAGATAGATTATTCATGTTTTATTAATGATTTGCTTTTAACAAACATTAAAAGAAATTTCAATGAGTTTGCTCTGTCCAAAATTAACATAAAACATGTTATTTAAATTTACTGTAAATATATTGTGTTAACTCTCTTGTGAAAGTTTTGACATTGTATTAAAGTAAGAAGTTCCTTATTTTTATTACCCTTTATGGTAAAGTTGTATAATAAACATAAAATGTGCAAAGAAAATATTTATAATCTTGCTCTTTTAGTGTATTTTCAAATTTCCAATCTATATCGTTTATTCCATCACAAACAATTACACATAATTTGAGTAAACAAATTTAGATATTTACTATCACACATTTACACAATATGGACTACAAGAATTTTCTTTCTTATTTACACATTCAGAAAACATATAATAATTGTGAATAATTTAACATTTGTAGGTCAATAACTCGGTCATACTATAGAGGTGCGGCTGGTGCACTTCTAGTTTATGACATAACTAGACGGGATACCTTCAACCATTTGACAACTTGGCTTGAAGATGCCCGGCAGCATTCTAACTCCAATATGGTCATCATGTTAATTGGTAACAAGAGGTAACAGTATTATTTCTAGATTAAAATATGATTTATTATTAAATATCATTTAAATTATGTATTTTTAATTAAAATTTGTATTTACAGTGATCTGGAATCTCGACGTGAAGTAAAGAAAGAGGAAGGGGAAGCATTTGCACGTGAACATGGACTTGTGTTCATGGAGACATCAGCCAAGACTGCAGCAAATGTTGAAGAGGCCTTCATCAACACTGCAAAAGAGATTTATGAGAAAATACAAGAAGGCGTTTTTGATATCAACAATGAGGTAACTAGTCTAGTTCATTCTAATTTCATGCTTTTCAATGTTTTTATCATGTTCAAGTAATCTTGCTAAACAAGTTGTCCAGTTGCCTAAGAAACTGGCCATCAAGGCATATTTCGTTGATTTTTATATTTATAATTATTTGTTTTGAAGATATAAAAGAAATTTTAATGTACTTTCTTACATTATATCACTAGTTCAAGCAGTATTGTTGTACTTTTAAATAATATGTGTTCACCTTAGAATGTTTGCTATATTAGTAATTGTCAATCTAATACCTGGTACACACTTGACTAATACAGATTAGTCATGGATTGTATAGACTCACTGATTCCAGTTACTGTTCACATTATGCCAGTTGATATTTTTAACTACTGGTACCTGTTGATTACACACAGATTAAAATAAAATTAATAACATAACAATTTGTTAGGCGAACGGCATCAAGATCGGTCCGCAGCACTCGACGGGCGGTGGCGCGGGCGGCGCGGGGGGTGCGGGCGCGGGCGCGGCGGGCGGCGGCTGCTGTTAGGTGCTGCGCTGCACACACTGAGGCGGACAGGCTGGCCACTAGCAGGCTTGGCGGAGGTATGACATTCATTGTCACCCTACATTATTCCAACACTTATCCTCACTCAAAATTGCTTTATGGTCAATAAATAGTTTTGTATTTTCCGTTTCACTTAGGTATTAATCTTTAATTCGACGGAGATTTTTGTAGCAAACTGATTTTTTTAGTAGCCATACTTTTGGATATAAAATGGATTTTTTAAAATTATTTGCTTGTCACTATTGAATTATATGTTAAGCCTTTTTTTAATTACTCATTAAACATGTCTGGCCCTTTTATTGTAAGGGTTTTTAACCCCTTCCAATAGTTCTTGTTAACTATTTCAAATTGTTTGCCAGGGGGAGTGCAGCTGTGTGCAACATACGTTGGTCGGAAACTTACCGTGTGCCGGATTTACTAGGATATGTATGCTATAGAATATGTTGCATGTCTATTCAATATAATTTTAATAATGCCACTCCGGCAAAAGATTTCGTAAAATCATTTCATATGTGCTTACAACGCGACTTTTAGTATTTAAAACTAGTTTTTATACACATCTGGTAATTTGAATATTACAAATTACAAAATTTGTGTTTTCTATTCAACATTTTAAATACTTGTTAGACAGACTTATATAGATTTGATTCAAAATTAACAGTCTTATAATCTTATAAGTGTTTATTTACATTGTAGATGCAGTTTCTCGTCTTATATAGTACATAATCGTAAGATATAAATGTTAAGACATAAGTTTTAAATCATATTGTGTAACAGGTCTTGAATAATACACAAATATTACATAGGACCAGGAATGGAAAATTAGCTGTATATGTTGTTTTTAAAAGCTTTTAAGTCTTGTATGCTTATGTACTATGTGTTTGTAAATCTTCGTCAAAAATATAAAAACAAATATTTGAAATTCAAATACAATTCAAAATATGTCAAACCAGACTATGTTAATATGTTTAAATATTTGTCAAAGATAATAAAACAGATCCTGGAATATCTCTTTGTATCAGTTTAGGCAATTATTTATTGATACAATTTTTCATTTTCAGAGTGCAATATTTTACTTATTAGTTTAAAAATGTTACAGAATTTCTTATTTTTAAAAGCTAATTTGACATGATTTATATTTGTGAAGCACCACTTACTTGAGAATTTCTGTATGAGAATGCTATTTTTTCTATTATTTGAATCATTTTACATATAATACATAATTTTAAAAATAGTTTGTTTTAAATAAATTTCAAGTCTTAAATGTAGAGACACTATTCTTTATAGTTTTAAGTTATAACAATAACACAAAATGAAATTGCTGTGATGACATTATGTAATTCCAGTGAATTACATAAAAGTATGTACTAACCTATTTTACCTTTTTAGTACCTTATTTAATAAAATAATGAACCTGTTTGCTATAATTGTATTTAATGTTCTTAAATGACAAACTTGTGAAGGCCTATAGAAGTTTTGCACAAGAACAATTTGAAATGTTTTTTAATGTAAAAAAATATAGCAAAGGCATATTGCTGAAGGACTGCTTGCAATTCAACAGGACATGATTACAAGAAATAGTTTATGTTTAAGTTTAGCAGAAAACTAATATATAAGGTTACATTATGCAAACACATTTGTAAAGCGTAATCCATGAAAATAAATGTTATAATATTCAGTTTGTATTTATTTTATCCCAACTATATAAAAAATACGAATTAAATGTTCACATGTTTAAAATAAGGTAAAAAGATTATATTTTTTTAAGGTGGCAAACGGGCGAGCGGCCACCAGAATTCGCCGAGAAAGCGAAGCGACCACTGCTCATATACATCCATTATTGCAGACGCGTTGCCTACCCTTAATCAACGGAGAATACGCACATAGAGAGAATATTTCCCCTTCCTATGTTTCTCCACCGTCAAATCCACTTATCCCTTCCATATAATAAAATGGTGGGAAGGGAAAGGGACTAAAATTTGGCCTTCGGCACCACACTCATCAAACAAAACACAGGATTGCACCCACTTCGTCTGTTTTCTGTGTGGTCATGGTATTACACTAGGTGATGATGTTAAAGCGGGCTCTACCACTGTTAATTTAAGTATAAAGATATTTACATTAGGTAATGCATCATTTTCCCTACCATCGCATTAGTTTTGCTGTTTCCAGTAACAGAAAAATTGCCTTACATATAATAACAAAATTCACTCAACTAATCATAACCAATCTGTTTTATAAATAATCAATAAAACTTTTGAGTTTTCTTACTTGTTATTCACGATTTACGACATTTTTATAGTGTTGAATATATACATTATTCAACTGCATTATTTATAACAGTCTGTGAACTGACTATTTCATTCAGTGCTGTGAATACACAATTCACAAGTTCCGGAGTTTTCATTTTGACAATACCATCTGACTTCACTTCAGCTTTTGGAAGATTTATTTCACATAAATCTAGTGGCGTCACATCTAACTGCATTGAGAAGAATATCTGATTCTGCAATATCTGGTACGCCAATTTATCTGTTTTTGATGATGCTGGAGAATCACCCTTCGCTCTGAAAAAAAAAAAACACATTATTACTCAAAGTTAGAATTTTAACAAGTAAATTTTGTAAATATTAATCCTTAATGAACAAAAAGAAAATAACTAAGATAAATAATTTATTATTAGTAAGTTTATCACCTTTTTCCTCCCCATCCTACTTGCGTAGGGTCGGCACATCAGGTTTTTGTCCTCCTCATAACTCTATCATATGTCATCTCAGTCATCACTCCCTTCTTGATCATGTCACCTTTCACGCAATCCATTCATCTCTTTATAGATCTTCCTCTACTGGTGTACCTCCACACTCATAACCAACATACACATGTGATTCATCCCTCCTTATTAGTAAGTTTATGTAATCTGTTAAAAAATACTTACCTGTGCCAAATCATATTCACATCTCCAACTTCAAATGATAAGCTCAGCTTATTTTTGTGATCTGTTAATACTGTAAAGCATAATGTGAATGGATCAGTGCTACGAGATGTATCATTTTCGACAAATCTAAAACCCAAATGTATGAGTTGATGCTGCAAATTAAAAGAACAAAGAATTAATAAGTTTACACAAATAATTTACATCTTCTAGACTTATTTATTTGGTTATTATGTTACTTTGTTCTTTCCATGTTTAAATGTATCCAAATAGCAATCTGTTAAGATGTTTAAAATGTTCTGGTCTCTATGGGTAAAATTTTCTGGCATAATTTTATTTCTACAAACTTATATTTAACTAAAAATGTAAAAGGATCTTGATGAAATTTGTCATAGACATAGAACATAGTACAGATTGTATAGTCTATTTAATAAGTACTCTTCCATGCAGATTGAATCATAGGCTAAATCTATACAATTAAAGAAACAATACCTGTGAAAAATAAAACTGCTTAATTGTGCAGTCAAATAAATTCTGTAATGTTGTCTTCACTGATGCTCCTATCCTTTTCTCACCATGCTCCAGCATGAATGGTAGATGAATACTCTCAGGCACTTTAACAGTAACACCCCAAGAGAGAAGAATACATGTATATACCAACTTTGATTTATTATTTTCTTGAGATGACACAGTAATCTAAAAATTTTATGAATTGATTAATACTGATAATTAAAAAAATAATAAAAAAACTGATATCCCATGTTACACAGTGATAATATAGCTTTTCAATGGTGAAAGATATTTTGAAATCAGCCCAGTAGTTTTTGAGTTATTTCAATACATATAAAAAAAAATACAAATATTTCCTCTTTATAATATTAGCATAGCTAAGAAATAGTTTTGTGATATAGAGGTTCTGGGATCAATTTCTATAATATAGCAATTTTTTTGAAATCACAAAGTTCACATAGGAAACAGTTTGACCTGCACACTGTGTGAAGAAATCCAAAGAATGTTTAAAGTCAAGCAGTATGGTTGACTAATTTACTATAAAGTATATATCTCGAGGAGGACTTGTATGTAGTGCAGACAAAAAGTGTACAAAAACAAATGTAAATTATGAAATACATACTATAATAGCCTCTGGATCATCTTCATTGTATTTCAAGTATGGCTGTCCCTCTATATGTACAGAAAATTTTATACCAGGCTTGGCTGGGATCGCAGTAATACCTTGACGAATCTTAGATGCATATTGCTTGAATTTAATTGCATTGGATTGTATATTAAATAAAGGAGACACTTTACTCACTCGCCAATGCCCTTCGTTATAAATAACTGAAAATAGAATTTTATGATTAATTACAATTGTTTATCGGAAATTTATAGTAAACTACTTCGATACTAACCAGCTAAAGGATCGTTTATAACATGACTATTGTGTATGTTCATAGTGATATCTTCATGTAATTGTTGTGATTAGCTTAGCCAACATTAGCTTTAGAACTTAGTGAATTTTCCGTAACTTTCTTTTCATGAGGCTTAGTCAAAGATATCAACATTAAATAGGAAATTGTTACATTTTATTTATATTCAGCAGTTTACAAATTCAAATAACGTTTATCTATTTTGCTGTCAAATCCTATCTAGAGTAAAAATGTTTGACCAAAGAGTATGCGAGTTTCCAGGTTTTTTGTTTTTTTTTTGTTTGGAAATACTATTCTTAGCTAACTCGCTACTCTTTGATCAGGGTAATTGAAGGTCGTCCAACAGTTACATAAACATTCAGTTATCGCAGTTTATTCAAAGTAAATGAGTGAGATAACAATACGTTTTTATAGGAATGTTTCGGCAGTGGAAACGGTTTGAAAGATAAAACTTTTTGACAAATGACAATGACAAGATCAAATTGACTGACAATAACAAACAATTGACATTTGACAACTACTATCATTTATCGTCAAAGTGAGTAAACGGCCGACGCGTATTTTATTAAATCCAGCGATCGAACCAGTTTAGTTTACCATTAACAATTGCTAAGGTTTGTCGCGCCGGTTTTCTTTTGGGCCTTCAATTATATAATTTGTATTATTCATGCCAATAGCTAAAGTAGTCTGGTTTGATAAACGTTATAATTATAAGTAAAACACTTTAACAACTTTTTAATTAGTTTCTAAAAGTGCATATTCATTTTCGCATTAATCAAGTTGGACTTTGGCACTCTTTGTATTGATGCGTAAAGTCTAATGTAAGTAAAGTTTAAATCTTTTTCGTCATATTAGTTGTTTTTAATAAATATTCTCGTAGAAAATGGAGCAACTACGCTTTGACGGTCGTGTCGCTGTGGTGACCGGAGCCGGTGGTGGATTAGGCAAAGCCTACGCCTTACTTTTAGCATCAAGAGGAGCTAAAGTGGTAGTTAATGATCTTGGAGGTGGCAGGGATGGCAGTGGAAAGTCAACATTTGCGGATGCTGTTGTTCAAGAAATCAAGAGCAAAGGTACTTATGTTTTCGGTAATTAATGTAGTAAACACTTAATTGTTATTTTTTTACTGATACAATATTAATATTCATACTAATAAAGATGTTTGCAATGCTTCATCAGGTGGTAAATTTATGCATTAAAACTGTCTGATAAAAACTTGACTGCCTTTTTATGAATTCATAAATAAGACAAGACATTAGTATTTCAATTAATCAACTAATGAATAATAAATACATAAGGAAAACTTCCACTTCATCCTGTTACAATTGTTAAATCTTAAGGAAATAAATACTCTATTTTATTACAGTATCCTTTAAGAAACACCCTATTTCATTTAGTAATTATAGTAGCTAAATTTAATTAAGACCAAGGACGGGTCCAGCTTTGGCACCAGGGTGGACAAGTCAAGAACTTGACAAAATATGTAAATATATCTTGTCAAGCTCTTGACCAACCAGCTCAGGCGGGTAATGACC